GCTCCTTTTTAAAAAAATTATTGCGTTGAATATATATAGATATGGTGTAATTGGGTTTGACTTAAACTAAGGCAAATTTTGTAACACTGGCAGTGAATAAATGTATGTGGCTGAACTGTATTGGTGTGTGTGTCAAAAGCGATAGAGATTTACAGTGCAATCCTACATATTAATCAAAAGTAATTATCACCCAGAAATAAGTACCAGTGAGAACCATAGCTCAGTGACAGAACATCTGGTTCATTGCAAAAGGTCCCAGGGTCAATTCCTGGTGTCTGGGGAAAATTCTTGTCTGGAGAACGGGTAATAGGATTGAAGTGAGATGAAGTATAGCAACCAGGCTTCCCTAATTTGATTTTTAGCAATTCAATTAGGAGGCTGTATGGGTTTTATTGTATACCACTTGGAATGTTTGTTTGTTTCATGTGAAGCCATCTATAACTTTTTAGCAAACGAACAAGAAATGCCTAACTATTCCACTAGTTACAGAAATGTTCTGCAAGGATCCACAGTAAAAATTTACACTCTCGAATAGCCTTGGTTTTTCTATTCTGATCTCCCACCTGTTACACTTAAAAGAAATTAATTCCCCCTTTTTAAATTTTAGGTTGAGTGATAACATAGCATTACAATTAACCAGCCTGAGTGGTTAACAAAAAAAAACAAAACACACAAAGAAAGCCCCTTCCCTTTTATTTCCAGAAAAATAGAAGAGCTTTATGGGGGGGGGGAGTGTTATTGCATGTTCCTTTCCTGCTTAGTATGTATTTGGCTGCTCAGGAGCTAAGCTGTGGGTGTTTGGGTTTTTTTTTAATCAAACTTACTTGGTTGATTTTCAGTCTAATGCAAATAACTGCTCAAGAGAAACCATGTTAATAGGGTCAGAGATTAGAAGTGCGTCTGTGAAAATGAAAACACTTCACCAAAAAAGATCAACAACACAGAGAACGGGTAGTAGGGTTGAAGTGAGATGAAGTATATCGACTAGGCCTCCCTAATTTGATTTTTAGCAATTCAATTAGGAGGCGGTATAGGTTTAATGACTCTTTGTTGACAGCCCACCTCCCTCGGCCATTAGTTTGGGAAGTGGTGCAGAACGTCGGCATCTGAATGAATTAGGGCATCTGGGCAGCTCAGAGGGCAAAGGAGCTCAAGACTGTGGCATACCCTGGACATTGACAACAGTCTTTTCTTTGCCCTTTGAGCTGCTGAAATTTAGGGCAAATTAAGCAGCGACTCGATTTTGCCTACAGTGACGCTTTGATGGAGGCGAAACCAGTTCTGAATCTGGCCAGCAATGTTTCTCAGAGGCACGAGGCGTCTGCATACCTTTCATGTACTAGTGGCATAGTGGTTAGAATGCACAGAGAAATGAGTATTGAATCCTTCTGTTATGCTCGGGAAAGCTTGCTTATGTTGAGTCCTCTTAGACATATTCCCTGATGCTTAGAGTTTGAGGGACACCTTCAAGAGCTAAGCCGTAGGCTGACATCCGGTGAGAGCTGGGGGGGGGGGAGTGTGGGGAACCAGTCACCAGGAAGGCTATCGCATAATCTCCAACTGCCCTGAAAATGCCAGGACCATCACAAAAACCCTTAAGCCTTCACAGCTTCTCACTTTGTCACAGAGAGTCCTGAATTCCCATCTTTGTTGAGGCAAGTTAACTTGAAATGGCCTCATGTTGGGAGAAGTGGGGGGACAAGAGAGCAGCTGACTGAGGCATCTTCCTCCTCCTCCTCTTCCTCCTCCTCCTCCTCACTGGGTGACTTTCAGCCACTCCCTCCCACACCTCTCTTTTATCCTAACCTACCTTCCAGGGGTTTTTTTTGGAAATAAACTGGACAGGGGACTTATGTGTGCCACCCTGAGTGCCTTTGAAGAAGGGTGGGATAAAAACACCACACATAAACAAACAAACAAATAAATAAATAAATGCCTTTCTCCCTCTTTTTTTGCCTGTGGCACTCAAGGCATCTACCTGTAACTGTACAACAGCAGCAAAACAAAACAAACAAACAAACAAACAAACAACAACACAGCAACACTAAAATGTAAGCATAAAAGAGAAGATTTTTAAAAACAATCAAAAGCCCTGGGCATTTCCCCTCCCCCAAAATGCAGGAAATGGTTATAATAGCATGAGTAGTTAAAAATAAATAAATCAGCCTTCAATCCTATACATGATCACCAGGAAACAAAATTCATTATTGATCATTTCAGCAGTCTTCAGATTTGGGTCCCCAAATGTTGTTGAATGACATCTGGCTAAACTGGCTGGAGATGATGGGAGTCGTAGTTCAACCTCATCTGGGGAAGAAGAACATGGGACTATTTCATTATTTAGAATATGTTTAGACCACCTTTCTGAGCAAAAGCCCTCTCAGGGCAGCTTGCATGGTCAAAGTGTAATGTAATCACAATAAATGCTCCTAGTAAAAGCTAGTCGATTTAAAAGAATGTTCAGCTGAGCCCAAATAAAATTGCTCAAATGCAGACAAAAAATTATCCCCAGTCCTACAAAGCAAAGAGCAATTTCATGCAGTGAGAAAGGTGGGTTTTTATGACTCTCCTGATAGCCTGAATTCTTATCTGAATGAAAATGTCATTGCCTTGCACCAGAAGGGCAACAAAGAGAGGGCCAAATGAATCTCAGGCAACATACACACTACTTTGCCTGATTTAAAAATGACAATTTTGGTGCTACAACCAGGACTCATTCATGCTGATCTTCAACATACAGCTTCCCGTCTAGATTGATTCTAGATTCTGCTGGTCACAAAAGTGGGTCATACGCAGTTCAAAATCATACCCAGGATTAGGTTAGCCACATCTTTGCCTCCCTTCATATGCCCCAGGTGAGTGTAGGAGGAAGCGACCTTGGTATATGCCCACCCACAATGTCATAGGGAAGGTGTAGGTTCCACCAGTACCACTTGCCATAGAACCATAGAATTGTAAAGTTGGAATATGCAGCTGTCCCATGCTGGGATCAAACCTGCAACCTTGATGTTATCAGCAGCACATTCTAACCAAGTGAGCTATCCAAGCAGCAGATGATACATCTGTTTTCAAATGGGCATACTGTGAAGTAATGCAGAATTAATGAGCTTCTATGTTCAGGATGAATCCCATTTCTCAAGAAGTGCTTTTCAGAGGCGAGTGAGAGAGACAGAGAGAAAGCAATAGATCTAGATTGTGTATGGGCTATGTAGAAAAATCAAGACCTCATTCTGCATTGTTTCTAGACTAAAATGTTGTGTCTATACAGAGAGGAGCGTTCCAATGCACAAGCACCAAAAAGGCTCTTTCTCATTCCCACTCTTCCCAACAATGCTGCCCCCTGATCCCTTTTGCAGCTCCCCAGTAAGCTACATAGCTGAGCAACAAGTTGCCCGTGGGATTCACACATCAAAGTCCACCTTCTGGCATTGCACCAAACTGGCTCGCAGCGGCTAATACACTAGACTGATGCTCGGGGTCATATTGCTGATTGCAAGGTCAATTCCAATTTAGAAAAGAAGATGTCTCTGTGTGGTTATTTCTCCATGTGCCTCGATAACATCAGGAAAGTATGTCGGCTGAAAGCCTAAGCAAAAAATAAATTTTGGAGTACAGTTCATTGTGCTCTCCAGACAGGTGGTTCCGGCATTTGCAGTCTGATTGACCCAGCCTTGACATCTTAATGTTGCATTTGGAAAACCAAATCAAATAAAAATCCCTTTCCCATCTCCTTCGATGTAAAGAAAGAATCAACTAGAATGTATTTTTCCTTTTTAAATTTTATGGTGGGCTACCTTTATTTTATTAATTGGTTAAAGGTAAAGGTAAAGGTACCCCTGCCCGTACGGGCCAGTCTTGACAGACTCTAGGGTTGTGCGCTCATCTCACTCTAGAGGCCGGGAGCCAGCGCTGTCCGCAGACACTTCCGGGTCACGTGGCCAGCGTGACGAACCTGCTCTGGCGAACCGGCACCAGAGCAGCACACGGAAACGCCGTTTACCTTCCCGCCAGTAAGCGGTCCCTATTTACCTACTTGCACCCGGGGGTGCTTTTGAACTGCTAGGTTGGCAGGCGCTGGGACCGAGCGACGGGAGTGCACCCCGCCGTGGGGATTCGAACCGCCAACCTTTCGATCGCCAAGTCCTAGGCGCTGAGGCTTTTACCCACAGCGCCACCCGCGTCCCTTATTAATTGGTTAAGACCCCTTTAAATTGACTAAGTATCCCCACGTAGGGTAACCTCTTTAAAAAAAATAATTAAGAGCTTATAAATACTGCACATGGCAAACACCATCTTAGATGAGGCATCTCTGCTTCACTCTCTCACACAAGGGGATGCCTCTTTTAAAATGCTGCATGCTATGAAAGCAGATCCAGACCATAGATTGAAAAGCACACCCAGCACACCTGTAAAGAACATGACGTGCCCCAAATAATCATGGGAACTGTAGTTTCTCCCTCACAGAGCTAACCAACCAGAGATGCCATGGTTCATTGCGGAAAGTCAGGTGCTTTTAAAATGTGCATTGAATATGCTTTAAATCTGTGGTATGAATTTGCCCATACTGACACCATTCCAAAACAAACCCTTTTCAAAACAGTTGAGTTGGATACACACACTGCAGTGGGAATTAATTTATGACGAATGCCCAAATTATTTTCAGTGGGACCTAATTTCAAGTTCCTTAACCTAGATGCAGTCCATTGTTTCCATCACAACTGTATCTGATAGACTCAATGCATTTATTAAGACTCTTTTGATTGTTCTACAAAAATGTTCTGTCATGTTCTGGAAGACCTTTTCTAGACTAGTCTTGCAAACTAATCAACTGCGGTCAACTACATATGCCTGCTCCCTATCTTGGAGAGTAAGCACTTAGTCTATGCTTTTGCGACCTCTTGGATCAATAACCATATTGAGATAACATGGGGCTAATGCTGAATGCACTTCAGACGTTGTGGATGGATTCTTGCTGCAGGTGGGTCCGTTGTTTTGTTTGATAACCCTGCTGATTTAATGATGATCTTCTGGTTAGCTTCCTTAAATAAACTCATCATCATCATCACTATTATTAATAATATGTCCCTCCACATTATTGTTAATTCCCCAATAGCATGGCCAATGGCAGGGATGGTGGGACATGTGTTCCAGCACTATCTCAAGGACCACAGGTTATGACGGCCTTCTCCAACCTATTGTTCTCCAGCTGTTTTGGAGTACAACTGCCTTGGCCACAGACACCTCAACCATGTTGGCTGGGGCTGATGGGAGTTATAGTCCAAAACAGCTGGAAGGCAACAATTTGAGATTATGCTGCCTTAACCTAACAGCTATCAAACTAAGCAGCCAGGGCATTAAAAAAAAAAAGGCTATTGTGTTATCTGTATTGGGATTTGTCAAACCAGGCTTATGAGAACATTTCTGTGGAATGCATTTTAATCCTTTTATTTCTTAAGACTTGAACAATGTTTATTTTGGTGGGTGGGTGACCCCCTCCATGTTTCCATAGGCATTCCCTTGGGTTCTTCTCACTCTCTAAAATAAAAGTAAAACCCACAGGAAAATGTTGGTGCACTTGTGATTCCCAGCAACTGGTATTCAGAGGCACACTGCCTCTGACAGTGGCGAGAGATCATAGTCTTCATGGCTGGGGACCTAATGATAGCTTCCTCTTCCATTCAATCCTCTTCTGAAAGCCATACAGGTTGTGATGAAATATTTGTGCAGACCAGGTGTCTGGCTGTGTCTGGCTGAACATTCTGTTTCTAGCAGTGATCATCAGGAAGCTCATGCATGGGCCAAGAAGCATTGGTGTGCATGGATTTTAAAAACTAAATAGCAGGCACAGGGGACCTGATCTACAAAGAGATCAAGGAACAGGGTGACTTCCTCACTTCCTCCCCGCTGCCCCTGTGGTTCCAATCCAGATGGAGGCTCTTACACCTGCTATTTACATTAGAAGTAAAATTTCCATGGGCACCAATGGAGACCTTTTCTTCATGTGCAAATAGCAGGTGCAGGAACCCCCAATCCATACTGAAACTAAAGGAAGGACAAGTGTTTAAAGGCCACAAGGTTCCTGTCTGGATGAGCACACATGCACACATCACATCTGCAAGTGGCTTTCTAAATGCCCCCCTCCCCATTTCATGAATTGTACAAATGGCATCTTGTCTGGTTTGGTGTTTGAATATATACTTGGAAGATCACTTTTTATGCTGACACCTGGACAGCTGACATTTAGGCACACCCTGTCTCTAATCATTTTATCCAGCAAAGTAAGAAATGCTTTTTGTTTTTGTTCATCACCTGTGCCATCTCCCAGATTAAGTATATAATTAAAGCATTTTCATGGTGGCTGGCTTGTTCCTTCTGCCCATCATGGGATCTAAAGTATAACTGACTGTTCCACCCACCCGCTTTCCACTTTGTGTTGGAAGGATTTTGCGTTGTGGGTTTTAATGCTAGCAAATGATCTGGAACTCCATGGGGAGAAAACATCAATTATGATCCATGGGCAAAGCAATCCTATACACATGTGACACTGGGGTTGAGATATGCCACCCCTATGCCTAGGGAAGGAGCCAAAACTCATAAAGTCTCTATCTCAGTAGGAGAGCATTTGCTTTGCATACAGAACATCCAGAAACCTCCTGTCTGAAAGCCTCAGGCACTGCTGCCAGTCAGTGTAGACGATAGTGAGCGAGATGGACTACAAAGGTTCTTTGGCTCACTACAAAGGTTCTTATTTAAGACAGTAGAATGGTCTCCATAACTAGGACTGTGCCCAGATTTGGCCAAAATCTAAATCCTGAACTGAATCAGGTCAATTCATGGACAGCCAGGCTTAGCCTGAGTTGGGTGGAGTTAGCTGCAGACTGACCCAGAGTTGTTAGGGGCACGGCATTGGGCAGGAAGGAGAGGCAGGAAGAAGAAGCACCAAGAAGTCTTAAGAGAGTAAGAAGGATCTACTGAATCAGCCATGTCCTCTTTCAGCAGGCCTTTGGCTGATTGACATCTGATGCCCCTTTAAAATGTGTTGTGAAATGTGTGTTATTGAATTTGTCTTTTTATTTTTATTATGTATTTTGCATTTTTTATGTTGTGATTTTATGTTGTGAACCACCCTGAGTGCCTGGGTACATGGAGCTGGACCTCACTGGACTTCTTGCACCAAGTTAGAAAATGCCAGGCAGCTGCGTTCTCCCCCACAAGCGACCCTCGGGATGATTCATCACTCTTCTTTCCCGATGTGCTTCTATGACATATATCCGAGGATTTATGCACGCAATACAAAAACAGAGTCCAAGCAGAAGCTAGGCATTGGAGGTGTGGATTTCTAAGCTACTCTATTATGTACAAAACAGAACAAAGGAAATCATGGCTCCTCTCTCCTCCATCTCTGAGAGAGCAGAAAAGCAATGGTAAAACATAACGGAACAGGGTTACTGAACTTCCGTTCTCATGACTCCAACAGTATGGAATGTCAACACAGACATGTGATGAAAACAATCACATATCCAGCAACGGGAGGAATGAAATCCCAACACTGAGATCTACAGGTATAGGGCATTCTAGAATAAGAATAAGAATAAGAATAAGAATAAGAATAAGAATAATTATTTATTAGTTACTTCTAGCGCACTGACACCAGAAACTGCAGTGACACTGAGAGCCAGTGTGGTGCAGTGGTTAAGAGCGGTGGACTCATAATCTGGTGAACCGGGTTCGCGTCTCCGCTCCTCCACATGCAGCTGCTGGGTGACCTTGGGCCAGTCACACTTCTCTGTAGTCTCTCAGCCTCACTCACCTCACAGAGCGTTTGTTCTGGGGGAGGAAGGGAAAGGAGAATGTTAGCTGTTTTGAGACTCCTTCAGGTAGTGATAAATTGGGATATCAAATCCAAACTCTTCTTCTTTAGCGCCAACCTTGCATTGTGAGACATCCCTGTGACCAAAACCCTAACCATCCACATTCCTCGGAGTTTGAGTGGGCTGGCTCAATTTGCTTATTTTTCCTTCTCTGCTTGCTCACCCCAAAGTGGAGCGCTCAGCTTTCTGCTGAAAGGAAGCCTTGTCTAGTGGCACACAGTGGGATCTCCAAAGACTGGCATCTTTCCCGCAGGTACATTTAGGAGAAGCAAGCCGAAACCACACAAACACTGAATGGAGCTAAGCAAGCAGCGGAGATGAAGGATGCATTATTGCAGCTGCCTGCTGTCCACCGCAGCCCCGGAGAACAACAGGACAAAAGCCAGGAGAGTAAATTGCAAAGGAGCCCATGCAGTTTTATGACACACTTCATTTGCAAGTAGCTGGGCCACCTCCGTGCCTCTTTACCGAGGAGAGGAGAGCAGGTGAATATAGATTAGAATTGTAACCCAGCGCAAGATGTATGGGCAGCATTAGGGAAATGACACTTGGAGCTGAACATAATAAAAAGCATCTCACCAGGGGAGCTGGCTGGCTGGCTGGGCAGCTTTATGAAATGCTATTACCATGCAGTTTATTCCACTCATTTCTGTATATACGTATGTGTAAGATTTGCTAGATTGTCATTTCTCTCTCTCTCTCCCTTCCTAGTTCTACATAATGAGCAATGGAAGTGGACAAAGGGCAGCCCTTGAGATGAGTAGAATGGAAAGGGAATTTGTTCTCGGGGATTAGGGGACTGAATAACTTTGCATGAGCCCCTTGCTTAAATCGTTCTCAAAGGTTCCAGGTTGGAGGAGGTCCTTCAGAAAGCACATTCTGGTAGATCTCAGGAACACGAAGAACTGCCTGCTAGGGGAGTTGGACTAGATTGGTGTTACTGACACTGACTGACAGCAGTTCTCCCGGGTTTCTGAATAGCTGCTCAATAAACAGCCAGCATCATCTAACTGCATCACCTGCAAACCTATCAGGATGAATGCTCAATAAACAGGTCATCTAGAAGTAGCCTTACTAGATGAGTGAAGGTCCGTATTGGTACTAAACTACTTCAGCAAGGAAGGTCCAACAGCAAAAGTTCGATTGCTCCCTAATGTAAAGTGTAATGGCAATACCTGGAGATATTATTTATGTATGTACATATATGGAAGATTTATGACTTGCCTTTCACTCCAATGATTCTCAAAGCAGCAGCTTACAGGTTGTAATAATAAAATGCCACTGGCATAGCAGTAAATTCTGAAGTGTGGGAATGCTTCAAATAGAACCCATTGGTGCAGCCCAACAGAGGCAGTGCCTCTATTTTTTAATAATATAATATAATAATAATACACACAAATGCAACAGTGAGCAGCATTGCATAATACCCAGTTGGCAATCCTAAAATAGTGAAATGTCAAAAGTTGGTGCAGCAATTAGCAAGCTGGGGACATGTTGATTCACATCCCTGCATGGCCATGAAGTTGACTAAATGACCTTAATTGGGACCAGCTTAATGTTTTGATCACTTTCCATCAATTAGCGTGAGAGAGAAAACTATCAAAGGGAAGAGAAAAATTCAGTGCTCTACCATTCATCTGCAGCCTTTTCCCTTTCTGGACAGTCACAGTCATGGGCTTAATGGCTACCCAAAGCTGCTTTCCAAGGCAGTGTTTAAAGACCCGAACCTGGAAGCCAGGGCCTGTACCATTTGCATGAGACCCACACAAAGAATGAGCATTTAGATCTTTGCAAGAAATAATAAAAAAGCAAATCGTTCTTGATTTTGTTTGTTTGTTTGTTTTAAAGCAAAAAAGAAAGCAAAAAGGCTTGTTAAATTCTTGCCAGCTTTTGTTATTACAGCTGGAGTTTAGCTCCTGCTTATTTACAGTTTCATTGAACAAAGATATAGGGAATAAAGAGTCCCTTACTGTTCGGCTCATAAAGATGAAAGACAGGAGGGATGCTAGGAATGAATCACCTTTTATTTAATGCCATCCTTGGCCCCGTACCATGAGACTCACGCCGACATTACTGTATAGCTTGAAGACTTTGATCCAGGTTTTAGGCCAGTGCTGCTGTATTAAATGAATCCTCTTATCTTTCCTTATGCCTTTCTCAGCGCCTGTTTTCTCCTTTATCTTTCAGAATGGCCCTAATGCATTTTAAGAAATGGTCTCTCCCTGTGTGCTTCGAAACGCCGATTGCCGTTGCAGAATTGCTGCACATTTCTAAATATAGAGGTGGGGCCTGGGAGCGGGTTTGTTCTGGAGCACCATTTAAAAATAAAGGGCATGCACTTCTAATTTAGAAGCCTAGGGATTTCCCTTAAATATTTGCCTAACTGGGAGACACTTGCAGAAGGTGGCAAGGTTGGGCATTTGCCAGCACCCCAAGACCAGCAGAGGGCCCACTGCCCTGACAGTGCTACCATTTCCGCTTTGCAGAGAGAATCCAAGAAGATCATATGCAATCAAAGACAATTCTCTTTCCCTGTCCTGCCTCTTCCATGTAACCAGGTTGGGCAAGGGAATGCAGGCTGAGGGTGCCAGGCCTGATGACCCCCCCCAAAAAATAATAATCCTGGAATTGTCATATTATGTGAGGTGGAAATTCTGTCTTTCCTGAAATCTCTTTTTGGCTGCACACTCATGTGGAAGTTGTGTCTGCTGTGTCCAATGGGACGCATTTATAATGAAGCATGCATAGGATTGCACCTTTAATGTGTGGAAGTGCATTTTCACAAGGACCAGGTTCCGATGCCACAAGTTTGGCCACCGGGCCATTTCTCAGGCTTGCATTCTCCCTCCTAGACCTCCTTCCTCTGTAATGTGTGTTGATCTCCTGCTTGCTGGCTTCCCATGGCCATCTGCTTGGCTGCAATGAGAACAGGAGCTGGACTAAATGGACCTTTGGCCTGATCCTGCAAGGCTCTCCTTACGTTCTTATGTCATGTTCAGGAGTGGTCGGTGGGAAGGGGGTGGCAGTGAAGCGGCTGCTGCTTACCCAAGAGGGAGAGGGACCAAGAGATGCTGAGGCTGGCACAATACAGGTGCTGGTCATTATCTTCATGGCCCATCTTGGATTGGTTTCATTGACCATGTTGAATGCAGAGATGGGGAACCTCTGCTCTAGGGGACAGATGCGTCTCCCTATTTGGCCCAGACTATGCCCCCTCACCAGGCCACCCACTCAACAGCCCTGTTCTGCACCCTCCTTGAGTGCTTTTGCCTGTCCTCGAAAAGAGATAGAGTCTCTGGCTTACTGGAGGGAAGATGAAGGTGTGCATATTTTCATACCTCTGGCTTTTATATGGCTGGAATATAGCCATATACTGAGATAAGATCACATCCATTGCCACACCCATTTTTGCCTCTGGCCATACCTACTATTAGTGTGCATCCCCCAGAAGGTTGCCCATAAAGGACTGAAAACGCTCCCCAGATGCATGGCCAAAAGCAAAAGCGGGTAGAGAAGCAAATGCAAATCTTACCTTTCATAGAATGATAGCATTGGAAGAGACCTCAAGGGTCTTCTGGTTCAACACCCTGCAATGCAGGAATATGAAAACATGCCCCCCCTCCAATTTGAAACCATACCACAACCTGCTTGGCATTGCAAATGTGCTGGTGGTTTATTGTTGAACCACTTGGAGGGGATTTGTATAGTTTCTACATGTGTCCCTATTTATCCTCCATCCAGAAAAGGAAGAGGAATTATCAGAATTCCAGGACACTCTGAGCCAGCCAAAACCACCCAGCTTGTGAGTCTGGACCAGTGAGGGGGGGTGGCCTGGGGGAGAGTCCTTGGAGGGCCACATTCCCCACCCCTGCCTTAGATAGTTCAGCAAAGTTTTGATAGGAACGTGGGGATTTTTTGTATTAGTTCTTTCCTGCTGCACAGCTCTTAAGGAGAGAGTCATAATGCCGGCGTGCTATAGAGACGCTGCAGGGCTTCATTGATTTTGGAGCGACAAATTTGCATGTATATTCCAGGATCTTTTATATGGCACTGCTTTGGAACACAGCATGTTTAATTAGTGACCTTTGTATTATACTCAAAAGTTGCACCCACCTTGAGATCCTTCTGGTGGTACTCAAAATAAAATGTTTTTAAAATTAGTTAAACAACACCAATAGATTAGTCTAGACTCATTGGACTCTCTAAAGTCCCAGGTCGCGTTGCAGACTTAAATGCTAAAAAAAACCTGGTATTTTTGGTAAGCAGTCACTGATGGTTTTTTTTTTAAAAAAGTGAAACCTAGCTGACTAGGGAAAAACCCTGAGCTGTAGTGGAGGTGTGTGTGCATGTGTGTGTCTTCGTGTGCAGGGGAGAATATTTTATATTGACAGACAATTCTAGATACAAAAAAAGAGAAGAAGAAGAAGAAGAAGAGTTTGGATTTGATATCCCGCCTTTCACTCCCTTTAAGGAGTCTCAAAGCGGCTAACATTCTCCTTTCCCTTCCTCCCCCACAACAAACACTCAGCTACCAAGTTAGCTGAGAAGCAGTATGCTAAGAATTGAAAGTTAGTGTTTAGAGGAAGATATATTTGGAACGCGGGTGGCGCTGTGGGTTAAACCACAAAGCCTAGGACTTGCCGATCAGAAGGTTGGCGGTTCGAATCCCCGCAACGGGGTGAGCTCCCATTGCTCGGTCCCTGCTCCTGCCAACCTAGCAGTT